CAGGAAATGAAGGAGCAGGTCTCTTTGCAAATAGCCTGGATGAAGAACCAGCAGGCTAAGGAATTTCTTGTCTGTTAACTGGATAAAACACCCCTCCAAAGTTCTGTCCTGGACTGTGAAGTGACTGTGACAGTGAAGTGGCCATGTCAGGTTTTGCATAAATAGAATGGATGAAGGTTGTAAATAAGAAAACTTTGAAGTGCATCACACTTCAGAAGCAGCTGTGAAACCACCTTGCATTTTTGTTGCTGCGTCTTTTATCCACTGCTTCTGTCTAGACCCTTAAGTTACAGATGTGGGAACTGTGTCTTGATAAGGAAACAACCAGTTGTTGCTGTGAGTATAAACTGCTGAAGATCTTGCTTTGGCTGATGTCAGCTGATCCTTAGTGACTCTGCCCCAAAGAGAACTTGGGACTCTGAACCATCTGATGCTTGTTTCACATCCCCAGATCTACATCTAGAGCTCCTGTGAAATGCAGTTTCAGTTTTGTGCTCACCTTTCCTTTGGTACGTCACAGAGTTACTGTCTGAACTCTATGTGTCTGGGACACTCGGATATACTTGGAATACGTTGGAAAGTGCTGAGCTAAACTGAATAAAGCAGAGCCTGTTGTTTGAAGGCAGCTCATTGGGGTGATAGTCTTGGCATCATGTGTCCTTTGTTTTGTTCCTTGTCTGTTTACGTTATTGAGCTTCTGTTTAAAAAGTTTGCTCAGCTGTTTTTAACTGGTCCTCTGAGTGGTTTTCTGTTCTCCTTTGTGGTGCTTATGTTATGATTTTTGTTCTCTTTGAAATGTTTGAGATATTTCTCTGGCATTGTGGTTTTCTCATGCTGGAATGTTATGGACAAAAAGAAAATGTAGGCAGCTGATTTGCATCAAATCTCCTAAGGAGTCAACTGTAAGATGAAATCTGGCCTTCTCTCTCCTTTTGAACAGCAGATGTGACTTGAAGTTGAGCTTTTTGGCTGTTGCAGGCTCAAGCATCCCAAATTCGTGGGGGAGTGGATGGATGAGCATGTTCCCTTCACTCTTGGGATAGAGGGAGTTGGCTCAGGGTGGTGAGCAGTCAGCTGGAGGCAGTACCAGGAGCCCTCCAAACAGCCCAGCCCTCGATGTGCTCACTTTGCCCATCTTCTGCAGTTGATGCCTTTCCCCTCTACCTGGCCTGAGTGCAGCAGTTTGCACACTGCAGGAAGGACAAGCTTTTGACAGTGCTTGCAAATACTTGGTGTTTCATTGTTTCTGAGATCAGTTATTTATAGAGGATTCTGGCTTTTAAATCACATGGCAGGCCCTTTTGTCCCAAAGCCAGAAGCTGCTTCTCGGACAAATGGAAAGCTTCAGATTCTGGAGATTTTCAGCTCACACAAAGCCTTGTTGTTTCAGTGTTGTGCTCTGGAGTGCTTGATGCTTTGGTCCCTGATACTATCAGCCAGGTGTATTTCCTTAAAAATCTGTCCTGGTAACATACAGCTGCGAATTTTTTTGTTTAGGGAACCACACACAGAGTGTTGGATCTTGTCTGAGCTTAACACATGGGACATATTTTGTGTTTTCCTCTGCTGTTTTTGTGGGCAGACATGGAAGGATCTGCTGGAAGCATCAGAGCATCTCTGCAATACATGGAGCAGACACATTTGTGGGATGAGTCCAAAGGGACAAAAGGCTCTCTCAGATGTTTGATTCCCAAGGTGATTTTGCTCAGCTGTAGAGGAACATTCCTGTCTTGCACCCCACAAAGGATTTCTCCAACAAGAAGACAGTCCCCTCTCCCTGCACACCAGCACCACACCCACCACTAAGTCTGTGTAGTTGGTCCCTGCAAGGAAAGGCAGTGAGTATCTTGGAGGCAGTAGGAGCCCGTCCTGGCAGTTTTACACAGAAGTTGTGAAGAGAGAGGCTCAAAAGACTTAAACACAAACGATTTGCAAACCAATACAAGAGTTGGATTGAGCCCCAAGTCCTGCTTGTGGGTGTGATCTCCGTTGTGGTACTTTTTGCATTTTAATTTAAATTCTGGCTGTAACATAATGAAAAGATCTTTCTAGTGTCACTAACTGAATGTTCACAGGGCAAAAGAGGTGAATGAGTGACAAGAAGGGTGATGAGAACTGGCCAAATCCCCAGCAGCCTGGGCTTTGATTGTGAGTCCTCTGTGCTACCCTGCCCCTCCTATAGCTGCAGTCAGTGGAAGTAGCTCAGATCCTCTGAATCCAGAGAAGGTGTCAGAGAGAACTTGGGCAGACTCAGTTTTCCTGGTGAGAGGAATTGTCCCTGCAGATCACTCACCAAGGCATTTGCATGTTTTAAGGGATCCCTTATAGGATGTTTGATCTCAGGCTGTGTTGCCATTTGCAGCTAATGGTTGTTAGTTGTACTGGCATTCCATCAGGGTATTAAAAGGCTAAAAATAAGATTTTTTTTCATGGAGCTTTCACAGTATTAACTTTTAAAAAAAATAATTTAAAAATTTATGCTTTATTCATCTTAGCTGCTGTGGGATGAGCTGTGCCATTTGTCTCTGGGTATTGGAGTGCTTTTCTGTTTAAAGTGACTTCTGCTGCTGGTGGAACAGCTCTTGGGTTGTCCCCCTGGAACGCTGAAGGCTGTGTCAAAAGTTCATCTGTCACCCTGCTGGGACAAAGCAGCTGGGAACACTGGAGGGCTGCTTTATCCTCTAGTGCCAGTGCATTAAAATGAGTATCAGAAAAAATGGAAATGACTGACACTGATTCACTTGAAAATTTTAGATGGTACCTCTCTGATTCTGCCTGGCTTGTTTACTGTTGTCTGTGATGGCTGTATTTGTTAGTCCTTTTAAATGAATCTCTAAGGACTGATTTTGAAGTGAAATTCTACGTTGCAAGGATGAAAATAAATGGATGCACTTACTGTGCCAGTTCGTGGACCTTAGTGGCTTTTTTCCCAACAGCTCTGATCTGCTTTACCTCTGCCTGTGTTTCAAGAAAAAAGGAGGCACTGGGAGCAGCAACATGTCTCCCTTAGCACGTGGGATGCAAGAGGAAGGAATAGTTTTGAGGTTTTGTTTGCTGTTTTGTTGGTTTTTTACCCCCTTTCAAGCTTTGCCTGTTTGCACAGAGCTGGATGTTGGAAAGAGCTGCCTCCCCAGAGGCGTTGATGGGATTTGCAGCCCTGCTCAGGGATGAGTTGCTCCGAATGGTGGGAAGGAGGAGGTGCCGCGGGGTGATGCAGCCCCTCTCCACAGGGTGGTGACACTGCTCCGTGCAGACCTTCCCCTTCCTTCTCGGCCACCAGCAAGCTCCGTCTCCAGACAGAGCAGTGTCTGAGTAATGTGGGCTGTAGTGAGATTAAAATCCCTCCTGCTCTCTAGAAATGCAGCGTTTCCTTAGACAAACTCTGCTTGGAAGGTGCTGAGATTGTATGGGTTTCCCAGGACAAACAGGGTGACCCTGTTGCAAATACTCACTTGGCATGTTCCAGGCACATCTGAGCACACACTGTAACCTGCATCCCAGCTGTAAAGCAAGAAACAAAGTAAAAAACAAAAAGAAACCCAGAAGTCATATTGTGAACTTCCTTCAGTGAAGCTGAGATCAAAATGCAGCAGCAAAGGCCACAGTGGCCTCCGACAGGCCTCTCAACCTGCCAGCTCAGTGGCCATTAAGCACACAGAAGTCTGTCAGAGTCTCCTGCAGTTGCTGTTTTCCTAGATGTTCACAGGGGCTGTGCAGATCTCCTCTGGGAGCCCCAGGAGTGCAGCCCGGAGGGACCTGGGGCTTTCAAGAGAAGTGTTAGATGCTGAGGGTCATGGTGTGGTCAGCCCTGCCATTGGCTCACAGTCATAGATTGCTTGCCCTCTCCTGGCTTTCTGAGTGGTGGAGGAGTTTTAGTGATTTTCTCAGCAGAAGCTTATCTAGTGGGAAGGGGCTGGTAATGGGGCTCAAGTGTAGAACAGGTGGTAAAGGGAGAATTTCTGCTCCAAGGGGTTGCAAAGGTTTAGCCTTTGTGGCTGGGAAGGATTGCTGGCTCTGGGTGTGCTGAATACAGGGTAAGGGAATTTTAAAATCAGGTTTTAAAGTGCAACTCTTGGTTCTTTGGTGTTTCCCTCCAGACATACGTTTTATTTTCTCCTACTTACTGAGTCTGAGCTTGTACTTGTGGCTGTGGTAGCTAAAAACCTTGATGGGAGACAACAGACATCTGCTGCTCTCTTAATCTAGGGAGGTACTGGGTTCTGGGAAGCCACTGGGTGTTTGTAAGCTGGGCTCAGACGGGATCCTGGGAGAGCTCTCTTCATCTCCTGAAGAGATGTAAATTCAGGAGGAGTTACAGGATGAAGAACATGCTTTGTGTGACTGGGTGAACAGATGTGTGGGCTGAAGGTTTATGTGGCTCTTGGATTTTTGCTCCATTTCAGAATGGACATGGGCTTTGTGACTTAGCCAAGTACATCAGTCACCTCACAACATCTAGTCTGTGCTGAAGAGAAGCTCCAGTGCTGAAGTGAGAACCTGCAGCTGCTCCTAGAGCAGGTAGGGGCTCCTGTGGCAGTGAACTTTTTAAGTCTAATTTATTCATCTCCTGCCCCTCTCAGCTCTTGAGGGGACCATGTGTCTATAAGTATGTGGAATGAGGTCTGACTGTTGCCAAGGCACTTTTTCCTGCTCTTTCTTTCCCTTTCACTGCAGTATTTTATTGTCTCTTGAGCAACTTTTGGAATGCTTCAGAGTTGCTTTTGAGCCCCCTGGTATTACTGACTCTGGCCAGTTGTGTCCCAGCTACATGAGGTGACAGATCCCATTGGTTTCTTTCTGATGGAGAAAGCTCCAGACAAAGGGGCTTGGGGCAAAATGAAAGGGCAGCAATTTGTCAGACAGATCTTGCCTAGAGAAGACCAGTCCAGCACATTTGTCACTTTGACCTACCAGTTACCCATGTGACAGTAAGGAGATAGGTACCCTCTTCAAAGACTTCCCTGTGTTCTCATGCTGTGACAGTTCACCCCTGTCACTGACAGGGCTTTTGTCCTAATAATCATCAACCAAATCCAGGATCTGAGACATGGTGTCAAATATGACTTATACACATGATGGCATTTGCAGCTTGAAGTCCGTTGGTTTTGATTGCTTGTTTTTTTATGAAGCAGTGG